ATAGTCACTGACTTGAAGAGCCAGGGTGATTTATTAAAAAGAGGCTCTTGTTCCTCAGTCATTTCATAAAGCCATGCCCCATCATGTGAGTAAACTGCTTAGCTTTGGGCAATTCTCTGGTTGAGGAAAAAATGCATTGTTATTAAAGACTTTGAATTGCATGCAAGCTTGACTCTTTTGAGGTTCATTCATGCTTAATTACTATCATGCTCTTGCTAGTTTGAACCTGCCCTCTCTCTTGAAGAGACAGACATAACAAGAGAGTTGGGGGTGGGGAGGAGCAAAAATAGTATGCTAAGCAGAGGGGGAATAAACATGATGTGGCTAGCAGAAGCCCAGGGTGACTTCAGTGACAGCAGCAATTCACAATGGGGATGTTGTCAAAAGACACCTTCCTAAGGACACAAGGAGACAGTTGCTGCGTGGGACTAATACCAGTACATCTGGGAAAATGGTTTAAAAGAAGTATCAAGGAAGTCGAGGGAAAATAATCCATGAAATCTTACACCACTTATTTCCAGGGAAAAGTCAGGGTGTATATAGGTCCCTACACTGGAAGGAACACAGACTACTGCTTCAAAGCTGGTGTTTATTAAAAGACTCCACCAAAGAACTGGATCTCACCTCTCAATTATTCCTCATAAGAGTATGTCCTTAGACTGTAAAAAGAAAGATAAATTTACAAATACCATGTGGATCAAAATAGAAAGAACACTTTTATTTTAAAGCACAAGCTAGACTATCGAATACAAAAATTTAAAAATAACAAATTCATTTTGTAAATGTGGGGAAGAATGGAAGAATCATGACCACATAATACCATGACGCTGTCAGGAAGGTTAAACTGTCAGAGATGAAAGGAGACTTGCGGAAACAGGGAGAAGTTAAAAATTCAGAGATTTAAAGATTTCCATATGGACAGTTTCAAACATTTTCAGAGATAAAGTGGCTTGTGTAATGAAACCTTGTGTACCCATTGTTTAGCTTCACCAATGAATTCACCACCAACTTGCTTCTATCCATTCTTATTCTCTTAGAATGTTACACTCATTTATGTCTTAATTCATAAATATTTCAATATGTATTTCTAAAAGATAACAATTTTGAAAGATATTATTTAAAATCTATAATCAAATCTCAAATTTGCTAATTCCTCAACAACATAAATTTTTCCAGTCTCATTCAAAATGAAGTTTAAATATAAATCTGAAAGATTATATTGGTATATCTTCTAAATTTATTTGAATCTGTAGATAACCATTGGTTGAAATGATTTTAATTGTATTTTATTCTGTAAATGACCCTCATGTGATTTTTATATTGAAATTTATTTATTGAAGAAACTAGGTTCCTTATTCCATAAATTGCCCATGTTTTAGATTCATCATCATGATGTCATTTAGCAGTTTCTTGCTCTAATATTTCTGGTAACCTACTAATTAATTATAGGAACCTAATATAAACCTGGCTCTACTTTCTCAGCAGGAATATTTCATATGTGATATGCATGTATTTATACAATTTCTGGCAGTTTCCTTTCTGATAGACATCGATAAGAGTTACCTGCATCTATTATTTCAACAGGATTGCAGATATGTTACATATAATTATTTATTAAGACTATTATGCTATTGCTGGGCGGTGGTGGCACACGCCTTTAATCCCAGCACTCGGGAGGCAGAGGGAGGCAGATCTCTGTGAGTTCGAGGCTAGGCTGGACCGACAGCCTCCAAAACAATACAGAGAAACCCTGTCTCGTAAAACCAAAAAAAAAAAAAAGACTATTATGCTATCATTAATTCTTTCATCAACTCAACTATTGCTATGAAGGAAAACAAAAGCTTTAAATAAAAGGACACTGTTAAGTGAGAGCATGCTCACACACAAATATGAATATATTTTTATCATATGTATATATATATATATATATACAACATTAAAAACTGATCTCACTGCACATGTTTCCACTTCCTTTTTCCTTCTTTTCCCAAGCAGAGTGGTGTGGTACAATCTGGTTTGCGCTGTCTCTGTCTCTGTCTCTGTCTCTGTCTCTGTCTCTGTCTCTGTCTCTGTCTCTGTCTCTCTCTCTCTCTCTCTCTCTTCCCTTTGAAATCACCCAGGCTTCTGAAAATAGAGGAGCTCAAGGGTGGGTAAGAATGGGAACTCAGAGTCAGAGTAGAGGACTTTTCAACAATCCAGCTAAGAGCGGCTTGATTGAGGGAGAAAGGAATAGCAGAGATGGGAAGTAATTGGATTCAGGACCTATTTTAAAGATGGAGATGATGAGACTTGCAGAGAAAACGAATGTGGGAATATAAGAGAAAGAGAAGAATAAAAACTGGACAATTACAGGATAAAGTTAACCTACACAAAGTCTTGTCAATTTGATCTGTACAGGCAGTGTCTCTTTAATAGAATTGCTATTAAAATGCAATGTTTGCTCAAACAGATCTAGTTCAAATCTCAACCTGCCCTTCCTCATTATGTGCCTTTGATTCAGTTCAACAATGTCTCTTGTCTATTTAAAAAACGATATGGGTTATGTTCAAAATGAAAATTAAGTGAAATAATGCAACACATTGCATAAGAAACCTTTCTATGCTCTCTCTATATACACCCTATCATATATTTAACTATGTCGTCTACCTTTTATATTTTCATTATATTCTTTATGTGTGTGCACTTGCACATGCTTGTGTCCCACAGCATGCGCGTAGAAGCCAAATGACAACTTTTAGGAAAATTTTTGTTTTGACTTTTGTTTTCTCCTACCTTGTAGATTCTGGGGACTGAACTCAGGTCATCAGTGTTGGCAGCGAGCACGTTTATCAGATGAACCGTCTATCCATTCATCCATCCATATCTATCTGTCTGTCTATCTATCTGTCTATCTATCTATCTATCTATCTACCTACCCACCCATCTATCATCTATCATCCATCCATCCATCCATCCTCCTTTCTATATTGAGTTAACTATTGAAAGGTAAAGATTGCAGGGGCATTAATGAACTTCTAGAAATGTGTTAAGACATAGCAATTCCCTAGGACCTCAAACCTTACTTCCCTAGAAGTTTTCTTGCCAGCACCTACCCAGAAAGGTCAGCTCCCCTCTCTTCATCTTTCCTCATTCTGTGTTCACCCATTTATGCCTTAGGTTACTAAACAAGTTTATGTTTTCTACCATAGTTAAGTCATTCTGTTACCCTAAGAAGTAAGAGAAAATGGCCAACAAAATGCCCTTTTATTCATGCAAAGAGAGATTCAGTGATGCTGCTATAGTGTCACTCATGGCAATCTATGGAATTTAAATGCAAGCTTTTCTCTTTGTTCTTAAATACACCAAAACGCCCTATAAATTCCATAGAATTCCATAAAAAACTCGTAGACAGCACTATAATTTCTATAGTAATAATGTGACAATTGATTTTATTTTAAGTAGTTTTTATAATATGCCCAAACATTTATTGTGTAAGGTAATGTGAGACATTTTTATACACTTGATTAACAGCTGACCTCATCATAAGTATGAAATAAACCATTATAAATAACAAAACTACAAAATACATTGAAATAATACTTAAACATGTGCTAGTAGCTTATAATTTGTACCTTTTATAAACATAATAATTACTGAAGAGTATTCATACATTGACTTATGGCTAGTGAATTTAATTTTAACTGTTCTTATGGGTATTTAGTGATAACTGTTAACAGTATGTTAAGGCCTAGAGAGATTGTTCAGCAGTTTAGAGCTTTTTCTGTGCAGCCATGAAGACGGATTCAGATCCCAGCACCCATGTGACAAGCTGGATGTCCAACAAATATCTGTAACTACAGCTCCAAGGAGTCTGATGTCTCTGTGCATGTGTTTATGCATACACACATGCTCATATAGGTACACAAAATTTTAAGACTTACTATGTCAACTGACCAACACAAGAATGATAAATATCTCTTCCTTTTTAAGGCTATACATAAACAACATGGAGAAATCATATTTCATACCTACAAAATCTAATCCCTGTGGCTGCCACATTTTTGCTTTGGCCACCATTTAGACTTCTTCTCTACTTAATCATCAAATTAAAAAGAAATGTTTAACTCACAAAACTGATTAAATCTTTGCCAATTCTGGTATCAATGGAATTGCTCGAGTAGAGTGGTTTTTGTACAGAGAGCATACTTTGCCTTCTCTCTGTAAGATGATAATTGTGTAGTCTTTTCTGGGGGGGGCTGTTTTGTTTTTTGAGACAGGGTCTCTCTGTATAGTCTTGGCTATCCCAGGACTCTCTCTGTTGACCAGGCTGATCTTTAACTCAGAGATCTGCCTGCCTCTGCCTCCTGAGTGCTGGGATTAAAGACATGTACCACCATGCCTGGCTTGTGCAGTTTTGTTTAAAGGTCAAAATAAAAAGACCTGTAAGTTCTTTTCTGATCTGTCTCTTAAGTCGATTTCCCCTTGAAGTTAGATGGTGTGGAAGAGAAGGAGGCCTGGTGGCTGAGTTGAATTCCAGCACTGCCACCCATCTTGCATGTATGTGGCAGGTTACATGTTCTCCCCTTTCCCACTCACCACTCACCACACGAAGGTGAAGTAGCAGTACTTTTCTCCTAGGGTTCCTGTTAGTATAAAGTACACACTAGTTCCCGGAATACAGAAAGCACTATATAAAGTCATTATTGTTGCCCAACCTAAGGTACTCACATCACGTGTGCAACTTATGAAATGTCATAAATTAAGCAATCCAGTAAGTAAATCATAAAACAGAAACTTCTGCCCTCTGAGCCTGTCTCATATCTCCTGGTAGTCATTGCCCGTCTCCAAGGGGAACCACTATCCTGGCCTCTCATTAGTTGTACTGAGAGCCGTTAGTAAACCGTACTATTCTGAAGTAATAGGGGACCGTGGTGCAGCCTTTTGTTGTCGATTTTTTTAGCTAAGACTTCATCTATTTGCCAATGACTCTCTTAACATAGAGCTTATGTTTTTGTTTCTAGGTTGAAAAAGCTCCTGGAGCAAGAAAAGGCTTACCAAGCCCGCAAAGAAAAAGAGAACGCTAAGCGGCTCAATAAGCTTCGAGACGAACTTGTGAAACTCAAGTCCTTTGCACTCATGCTGGTGGACGAGAGGCAGATGCACATTGAGCAGCTGGGCCTGCAGAGCCAGAAAGTCCAGGACCTCACGCAGAAACTGAGGGATGAGGAAGAGAAGCTCAAAGCCATCACCTACAAATCCAAAGAAGACCGCCAGAAACTGCTCAAGTTAGAAGAGGACTTTGAACACAGGGCCTCCAGGTTCACCCAGGAGCATGAAGAGATGAATGCCAAATTGGCTAACCAAGAGTCTCACAACAGGCAGCTTCGACTCAAGCTGGTTGGCTTATCTCAAAGGATTGAAGAGCTGGAAGAGACCAATAAAAATCTTCAGAAGGCAGAGGAGGAACTTCAGGAGCTCAGGGATAAAATTGCCAAGGGGGAATGTGGGAACTCCAGCCTCATGGCGGAAGTGGAAAGTCTGCGGAAGCGCGTGCTGGAGATGGAGGGCAAGGACGAGGAGATCACGAAGACGGAGGCCCAGTGCAGGGAGCTGAAGAAGAAGCTGCAAGAGGAGGAGCACCACAGCAAGGAGCTCCGCCTGGAAGTGGAGAAGCTGCAGAAGAGGATGTCCGAACTGGAGAGGCTGGAGGAGGCCTTCAGCAGGAGTAAGTCGGAATGCACGCAGCTCCACTTGAACCTGGAGAAAGAGAAGAACCTAACCAAAGACCTGCTGAACGAGCTGGAGGTGGTCAAGAGTCGCGTTAAAGAACTGGAGTGCTCCGAAAGCAGACTGGAGAAGGCTGAACTAAGCCTCAAAGATGACCTCACGAAGCTCAAGTCCTTCACTGTGATGCTGGTCGATGAAAGGAAAAATATGATGGAGAAGATAAAGCAAGAAGAGAGAAAAGTGGACGGGTTGAATAAAAACTTTAAGGTAGAACAGGGGAAGGTTATGGACGTCACGGAAAAATTAATTGAGGAAAGCAAGAAGCTTTTAAAACTCAAGACGGAAATGGAGGAAAAGGTGTACAGTTTGACCAAGGAGAGAGACGAGTTGATGGGTAAGCTGCGGAATGAAGAAGAGCGGTCCTGTGAATTAAGCTGCAGTGTCGACTTGCTGAAGAAGCGGCTTGATGGCATAGAGGAGGTGGAGAGGGAAATAAACAGAGGTAGGTCGTGCAAGGGGCCCGACTTCACCTGCCCAGAGGACAATAAGATCCGGGAACTGACGCTTGAAATCGAGAGACTGAAGAAGCGTCTCCAGCAGTTGGAGGTGGTAGAAGGGGACTTGATGAAGACCGAAGACGAGTATGACCAGTTGGAGCAGAAGTTCAGAACCGAGCAGGATAAGGCAAACTTCCTCTCCCAGCAGCTAGAGGAAATCAAACACCAAATGGCCAAGAACAAAGCCATAGAGAAAGGAGAAGCTGTGAGCCAGGAAGCCGAGCTGCGACACAGGTTCCGGCTGGAGGAGGCTAAAAGTCGTGATTTACAGGCTGAGGTGCAGGCTCTCAAGGAGAAGATCCACGAACTGATGAACAAAGAAGACCAGCTGTCTCAGCTCCAAGTGGACTATTCGGTCCTTCAGCAAAGATTTATGGAAGAAGAAAATAAGAATAAGAACATGGGGCGGGAGGTTCTCAACCTGACCAAAGAGTTGGAGCTCTCCAAGCGCTACAGCCGTGCTCTCAGGCCCAGCGGGAACGGCAGGAGGATGGTGGACGTGCCCGTGGCTTCCACCGGAGTGCAGACCGAGGCGGTGTGCGGGGATGCGGCGGAGGAGGAGACCCCGGCTGTGTTCATTCGCAAATCTTTCCAGGAAGAAAATCACATCATGAGTAATCTTCGACAGGTGGGCTTGAAGAAACCCATGGAACGGTCCTCGGTCCTCGACAGGTATCCCCCAGCAGCAAATGAGCTCACCATGAGGAAGTCGTGGATTCCTTGGATGAGAAAAAGAGAAAACGGCCCCACTACCCCACAGGAGAGAGGACCTCGGCCGAACCCAGGAGCAGGGCACCCCGGGGAGCTGGTCCTAGCACCAAAGCAGGGCCAGCCCCTGCACATCCGCGTGACACCGGACCACGAGAACAGCACTGCGACCCTGGAGATCACAAGCCCAACGTCTGAAGAGTTTTTCTCTAGTACCACCGTCATTCCTACCTTAGGCAATCAGAAACCAAGGATAACCATTATTCCATCACCCAATGTCATGTCGCAAAAGCCCAAAAGCGCAGATCCTACTCTCGGCCCAGAACGAGCCATGTCCCCTGTCACGATTACTACTATTTCCAGAGAGAAGAGCCCAGATAGTGGAAGGGGTGCATTTGCAGACAGGCCCGCGTCTCCCATCCAGATCATGACAGTGTCAACGTCCGCAGCTCCCCCTGAAATCGCTGTCTCTCCCGAACCCCAGGAAGTGCCGATGGGAAGGACTATCCTCAAAGTCACCCCGGAAAAACAAACTGTTCCGACCCCGGTGCGGAAGTACAACTCCAATGCCAATATCATCACCACGGAAGACAATAAAATTCACATTCACCTGGGTTCTCAGTTTAAACGATCCCCCGGGCCTGCCGCTGAAGGCGTGAGTCCAGTAATCACTGTCAGACCTGTCAATGTGACAGCGGAGAAGGAGGTCTCTACAGGCACAGTCCTTCGCTCTCCTAGGAACCACCTTTCTTCACGACCTGGTGCTAGCAAAGTGACCAGTACTATAACCATAACCCCGGTCACAACATCATCCACACGAGGAACCCAGTCGGTGGTGAGTAAGGGAGGACCCACAGCAGAGCACACGGGGAGGGGCGTTGGGGGGCTGGGAGGGGTGTGTACAGGGAGGGGGAAGAGTACATAATTTAAGATTATAGCTGTGCATTAGCGTAGGTAGTAAATACTGATAACATGGGAAATCTGAAGCAAATAAAATTGATTGTTCTTGCTCTTTTGAAAGTGCATTAAACACACAGGCTGACTACACAGTAGGCTAAGTGACCTCAGGGTGGATTGACTCTGGCTGTGAGGTTCAGCAAAAGTTCTAATTTCTTGGAATGTAAGAGTTTTTACTTTTATTGATTCTTTGTGCATTTCACATCATGCATTCTGATCCCACTTATTTATTTGTCCCCTCACATCTGCCCTCTGCCCTTGCAACTCCCCCCCCAAAAAAACAAATTTAAAAGAAAATTTGAAAAACCAAACCAAGCAAGCAAACAACAAAAGAGAAGGATCTTGTCATGGAAGCTGTAGTGTGGTCACACAGTCTACCCTTCAGTCCATTCATCTTTACTTGTAAGTGTTCATTGCAAGTAGTCATTGGTCAGGCCTCTGGCTTCTGCTGCAGTGGAGATTCTGCTGTTTTGGATCTGTAAGTTGGGGAGACAAATTTCTTTAACAACAGCACATACCTCTTAAATATTAATTCAAGCTAACAGGTTAGACACTGTGATTCTACAGAACACATTCTATAGTTTACGCTGAAATCTCTTAAGCAAAAACTCATTATTTAAATGCATGAGCTATCGCCTGTCTTCCCACACCCTTAGTATCATTTACACCAATTCTCTGTGCACAGATTCAAGGCAGACTTTAAAGTGTGAATGGTCGTTGCTTTGGCAGTAAAGCTTTGAGTTATTGGTTCCCTGGAGTCCAACAGCATTCAGCATTGTTGGCCTTCTCAAATGATGCTGGACTGCTTCTCAGCAGGACAAAGCATAGCTTCACTGGGCAAGGTCTTGTGTCTCTGCATTTTGTAAACAGACAGTGCAGGCGTCAATCACTGCACTTTAGAGCAGATTCTCCTGCTGTTGCATCTTCTCCTCATTTGAAAGTTAGGATTGAAAGTCTCACGCCCTAACTACCACTGAAGCCCTATACAAATAAGATTTACCAACAATTACGTATGATTTCTCAGCCTAAACGATGACGGTCCATGCATTTTACTAAAGTCAACAAAATAAAATTTAGAGCAACAAAAAGGTTTAGGAGACCTCTCTTAGCACATCATCAGCGGAGCTAGTTCATTTGGGTATTCATTCATTTACTTTCTATCGGGCCTTAGCCACAATTCCATCATGGTGTTTGGGGCTGGTATGTAGAGATCTGTAGATGTCCCAGAGTCAGGGAGGCAGGACTAGGAGGACTCAATCATTCTGTGGTAAAGAAGTGCACAAAGGAACTACCAGAGGAGGCGTCACAGGTCAGAAGGCATGGGAAGGAGTGTATAGACAAGCAGAATGTGTGAAGGCAGGGCCACATGAAGGAGCCTTGTGAGTTGGGGCACGGTGAGTGACCCCATTGTGCTGCAGCAGTGGTTTGGGCAGGGTTAGCGGAGATGCAGGTGTATAATATGCAAACACACACAGGGGTCAGGCACTGGCCTATGAAACCTACATTTAGTTTCTCTGAATAGATAAAGGAAGTCATTGAAAAGTTAATGAGTGATCCTGAAAATATTTTTACACTATGTACTAAAGATGTTTCTATCAAACATCTGAAAGGACAAATAGGAGAGAACACGGACTAAAGACAAGTACCATTCCAAGCCTCTAGGCCAGAGACAGTAAAGGACTAAAGGGTGGTAGTGACCATGTAAATAGGGACATCTTGAAGATGAAAGTGAGAACCAGGTGTTGTGGTACATGCTAGTAATTCTATCACTCAGGAAATGGGCAAGAAGGCTGCAGGTTTAGACCAGCCTGGACTGCACAGTAAGAACCTGTCTCAAAAGGAAGAGAAAGAACAAGAATTTAAAAGATTTTTACAACACAGTACATGTAGAGGGTGGCCAGGGGTTCCTGTCTTTTCTGTATAAGTAGGGTGAGAAATGTAAGGAGATTTTCTGGGGATGGCAGCAAGCAGTGTGGATATCTGCATGATGCTGTCCATGTCCAGTGAACAGTTAGAAACTAGATCTGCACTTCAGAAGGGACTGGAGGCATGAGGTTCTGGAGCTTGGATGCATGGGATTACAAGCAAGTGAATTCTCAGGGTAAAACCCTTAATCAAAGGGCTGAGACTAGCACATGGCGACACATCTAGAAGGCAGGCAGGAGCGAATGAACCATCAAGAGAAGAAAGGAGTCATCAGAGCTTGGAAGCATTGGTGACACACATACAGAGACCAAAGCAATGCACTGTGAGGAACATTGTGAGAAGGGGGGTATGGTCAGAGTGCCAATTTAAAAAGTCTGAAGTCATAAATAGGTGAAAAGAGCCACTTCCTCTGAAATGGTAGAAAGAAAGGACAGTGTCATGCTTCTAAGAACTAGGCTTTAAGGTCATCTTGTGCAGGGGTAGAGAAGGTGAACTAAGGTTTCAGAGGGAAATTCAGCATAGATGCTTCAAAAAAGGGAGAAGGGAAGGATCCAGAGTAGGTTAGACGCCAACTTCAGCCTTCTCAGTCCCTTTCCCTGGGACAGATACTCCTTTGTGGCAGGAATTATGCTAACGCACAGGGTTAGAGCATGACTGGGGAAACTCACCAACATATCCCTTTTTGTCTGTGTTTTCTCTTACAGTCAGGACAAGATGGGTCATCTCAGCGGCCTACACCCACCCGCATTCCTATGTCAAAAGGTATGAAAGCTGGAAAGCCAGTAGTGGCAGCCCCAGGAGCAGGAAATCTGACCAAATTCCAGCCTCGAGCTGAGACTCAGTCTATGAAAATAGAGCTGAAGAAATCTGCAGCCAGCAGCACTACCTCTCTTGGAGGGGGGAAGGGCTGAGGGCAGTGGCTAAGGGGGTATGTTATAAGGATGCTACTGCTGCCGTGGAAACAGACCTCTCTCTGTTTGTGCCAACCCTTCACATGTATTACTAATTTAAGTTTTAAGTATCTTGTTTATAAAATAACCATCTAATAGCCATGCGGTTTTACTATTTTGTGCATTTGTTTCAATGCAGGGAAATTGAACTGATTAGCAAAATTGCTGTTTGCTGAATGTTTTGTTGAAGATACTGGTCCTGAGACAGGGGCTGGCCTGAGTTTAGTTTTACTTCTAGCATGTGGCCCCATCAAATTTAGCTCATCAGTTAAAAAGCTGCCAGTGTCTTCACCAGTGAGATTTGGGAGTCACATTCCATTCTCCTGAAGGCTGGCTCCCAAATTTTCTAATTTTAAGCCAAGTTTAATAGACTTAGTTCTACATTTTTTTCAAAAAAAAACTATTTTGAAATAAGACAGAGTTTAACAATTGTCATTGTGCACTATCAAATCTTGAGTTTGAGATATGTGATGTAAGGGAAAGAATTTCAAAGCTATCACAGAACCTTTAAAAATTGGAAAAACTAAAGCTCCTAATATGACGTCAGGAAATAATTTGAACATGAAATAAAATGAAGACGAACTGTGGAATCTGAAAAAGAGAGTTTGATTTATTTGTGTGTGTTTGTGTGTAAACGAGAAGTGGCCATCTCAAACCCCTCCCAGCATCTCACAGACAGTAACTTTGAACCATAAGGCTCAGAGTTATACTCTGTTCAAATGTGCAATTGGTTGCAATTGCAGAATGGTAGAAGAGAGCTGCCAAATGTCCCTTTAAAAGCTCCACAGAAACAGTGACGAACAGAAAACAGCAGAAAACAAATTCAGACACGTTAATGCCAAGGAAAAAGTGACATCATCCATAGCTTAATTGAATTCAGTATTTTCCTTAGCTAAGTGTAGACTCTGTTTGCAGATGTAGAACAGATCATGATTTGGGGTGTGTGTGTGTGCCTGTTGTTGGTATGTGTGCTGTGGTGACATACTTTATTATTACTCTCAGTTTTACTCATGTTTGAATAATTTTCTTTAATTTTGGAGCATGTTCTAATAAGCATGGAACAGAGTGTAAATGCAGAATGCCATGTGTCTGTGAGATTAACCTTGAAAAAAGTAGATTTTGTGCTTCATGGTTCTATAACCACAAATGAGCTCCAGACTGATAAACTACCACTTAGCATACAACCATCTCATGCAGGCCATGTCTTTGCCAGAATGTCTGAGCCACATAGGTGAACTTTATAAAATTACAGTAACTACAGACCTACAGATTTGCACATTTTCTTAAGTTTCTGAACTCTTAAATTTCCAAAATCACATAGAATAGCACACACTTTGGGTATTAGAGAAAGGCAAATTGGAAAATGAAGATGTGTGCTTTGTTTTCAGACTGGGAGTCAACGTTTCATGATGAAGTGCCTCTCTGCATTCTTTTCTGTACCAAGTACCTTATACCCTAAAGAAGGTGGATTGAATTGTATGTGGCCACTTCCGATTATCTACACACTTTAGGCACATCTGTCAACAGCTGCTCATTGGTTCTCAGTGAATATATGAAAATATGTTTAGCAACCACGTTAACAACAATCCAGAATACTGCATCAGGATGGTTAAAGAAAAACAGAGATTAGCTAAGATGTATGATCTTTGGACAAGCTTAAACAAGACAGTTTGACAGAATATTGACTTGTGTTTCATAAAGGATTTTCTGTACTCTAATCAATGGCCATCCAACCCTTTCAAAGACAAGGGCATTCTTTGTTTTACTAGTGCCTACCTTGTGTTTGGGAGGTGTGAGGTGATAACTGTTATATGACATCCTTTGCTTGAGCAATGACAGTGTTGACTGTTGTGCTCCTTTGGACTCTGCCTGAACCTTCTTTAAGTGGCTTACAATCTCAGTGTAATTTGCTGATCTTCCAGCTTTTACCTGCCCACACCATGGTTACTTCACCTCCTCCTAGAAGTTCACATCACCCCTGGGAGTGTGCTCAGAAAGGCTTAACAGTAAATGTACAGGATGTTTGTGTATGTAGATCTGGCATAGAGCCATATACAAAGCACAACTACTAAGAAAACTTGGCAGAACAATACATAGTCATTTGGAAATGACAAGCAGTAACCTCCGGGGAAGTTGCTCTTTGTGAATTTAGAACCAACTGTACATTTATTGGATGGTTTTGTTCTAAAGCATACATTAGAAGTGGAATACACAGGGGATAGGAAGTGGGGGATTAAATGCAGCCTGACTCCATCTCCCATTGGTAAATGGTTTTAAGATGCTGCTTAATGTGCTTTTGTAGGACTGAATGGGCTAAAAGTTTAGACTTTTTCTCTGTTGTGAATCCTTCTGTATGCTAAAATAAAAGCAGCCTCACAATGACTGATGCGTATAACTACTGTTCAGATCCTGCAGGGAGAAAGTCTAACAGGTGGGACTGTCATTTCCACAGTTTTGCTGTGATAATGCTTTCTAGGATGTGCTGGTACAATCCACACAGCTAAAGAGGAGACCCTGGTCTTCCACACCTGTGAATCCACTAAACATATTGGGGACACTCAGATGGTGTCTCCCTGCCACACATGATCCCAGGAATGCTCACGTTAATGCTGTGAGCTTCATATCTAGGTTATTTGATTAAGCAGAGCCACTGGCTTCCTATTATATTTGCAGGAGCACAGGTTGATGGATAGCAGTTGGGTCTCTTTGGAGTTGTTAGTGTATTCATCAAGGATGTCAGCCGATCCCTTACTTGGCTGTTTTCAAGAATCAAATGAAAACCCAGCATCCAGGTGTAGTTAAAGGAAAGTATAATTTCAATGACAAAACACACCCATGAGTACAAAATATGAAGAGGACTTGGGTCCCTCGTAAATTCAGAGCATGGAGGGAAGAATGAGACTTCTGTGCTGAGCAAGGCATAGGAACCTAGGGGGAGGAGTGCACAGGGGCTGCTGAGATGGTTCCGTGCTGGGCAATTGTCTAACATCGTAACATCCTAGTTTTTATCTGAAGCAGTAAAAGAGGGGAGATCCGTGTGTCAGAGGCTGAGGAACAGAGGGAGAGATAGGGACAGAGAGATAGAGAGAGACGGTGAGACGGAAAGACAGAGATTCTCTCCCTTCCCCTCCCCCTTTCCATAAGTGCTCTACCACTGTGATACCTTCCTACCCCTAGATTCTTGATTTTATCTTTCACTTCTATATAGGCAATAAGCATACTTCTGCATCTTCCAGTGTAGCAAATCTTCCCCTTCATCTCTGCAGGTTTCTGCAGCTCCTACGGTCTCCATCCATGCCAACCTGAGCTGTTGACAGGACAGTTAACATGTCCTGCCTCCACTCTCACACGGAGAATTTATCCTCAACATTGTGTTTTTATGTGTTTTAAAGATGTTGCCTTCAAACATGTGCATTGTGGGTAAATGCATGGGAGTGCAGGTGCTCTTCATAGGCCAGAGATGTTGGACCTCCTGGAGATGGAGTTATCAGCAATGGTGAGCTACCAGCTGCATTGACCTTCAGCCCTCTGCAAGAGCAGTGCATGCTCTTAGCTGCTAAGTCAGCCTCAACTGTTTCTTTTTAAAAAATAATCCATGCCTTTGTTAAAATATCAGTTCATAGTAGAAGATAATAAAAATAGTCATTCCTTACTTTTTCCCTCTGACCCAAGATTTTTCTTGGGGACATCTTCTCCAATTCTTACTCATTTCTTCAAACATCTGTCTCCATATTTGTAAAATGTCCTAGTACTCTAGCATCCTATTTCTAGATTTTAGATATATATCTTCCTATTGTTGCTTTGGTGGTAAACATTTAGGCTTGTAAGCTTTCCCCTTTACCCTTCATCTCAAGATGATCACGTTATATTTATTATTTTTCAAGACCGGGTTTCTGTGTAGCCATGAATGTCCAAACCAGGCTGGCCTTAAACTCATCAAGATTCATCTGCCTCTGCCTCCCAAGTAATGGGATTAAAGGTGTGTGCCACACCACCACCTGGCTCATGTCACATGTTTTTGATATAGCAATTATATATTGCACAGTGGAAATTTGAATATGGCTCCCTGATGAGCCAACTTGTACACTAGGAGTGTGCTCTCTCCTCTTGACACTTCTTCCAAGGAACAATTACTTTACTCTTTCATCTGCTTGGTTTCCTATGTGTCTATTTTCCCAAACACTCCATTTGGTCTGCCAAACACCGATCAGTAATTTTTCCAACACTTAAACACAGAAGTTTTCTATTTCCCCCTAGGAGGCCTTCCTAGTGCAGCCCTCTGCTTCCCTCAAGCTGGACTGGTTGTCCTCCAAGACTGTTGCCCAGCTGTTGTCCTTTTGCATAAACTTAATCCAGACTCCCTCTCCTCCCCTCTCCTCTTATTCCTCCCCTCCCCGTCCCTCCCCGTCCCTCCCCTCCCCTCTTGCCCCACATGAAGAGGTCAGAGGACAATTTTCAGGAGTTGATTCTCTTTCTACTGCAGGTTCCAGGGACCTAACTCTGGTGCCAGGCTTGTGATCCAAGTGCTTTAACTTGTTTTTATCTTCCAGACCTTGGACCCTGTTTTCTTTTATTACTGTCTTTCATGTTCTGTTTCAAAAAATATATTTTTCTGTAGTTTCTCAAGAAGTAACACCTGTACTAATCTCTCTCAAGCAGGTCCCCTGCTTCTAGAACTAGGTCAGATATGTCACTGTTCCCATGTGTCAACTTTCCATGGCCTCGTTCAGTCTGTGCTGTCCATTGTTTTACCTATGGCCAAGACTTCTTCAATCAGTTTTTTTCCCATGAGAATAAATCTCTGGCCTTAGG